ATGCGTAAATGGACCCCTTTGAATGGTCTCCTGTTGAAGAGTGGAGTGTGGTGAAGCAGATTGTTGTTCCATCTCCATATCGTTCAGAAATTTTGCGGTTGGCACATGATAATCCGTTAGCGGGTCACCTTGGCATCAGAAAGACCTATGATCGCATTTTGCGTCATTTCTTTTGGCCAGGATTGAAGAGCGATGTCGTGCGCTATTGTAATTCGTGTCACTTTTGTCAAGTGTCTGGAAAGCCAAATCAGACGATTTCTCCTGCTCCTTTGTATCCCATCCCAGCCATCACTGAACCATTTGAGAGAGTATTGGTTGACTGTGTGGGTCCGTTGCCTCGAACCAAAGCGGGGAATAAATTCTTAGTAACGGTGATGTGCACCTCTACTCGTTTTCCAGAGGTTTTTCCGGTGCGTAAAATAACTACGCCCGTAGTGGTTAAAGCATTGACAAAGTTTTTTTCATTGTTTGGTTTACCTCGGGTTGTGCAGACTGACCAGGGGTCTAATTTCATGTCTAGAGTTTTTGCACAGGTTTTACGTCAATTGGACATAAAGCACTGTCATTCCAGCGCTTATCACCCAGAGAGTCAGGGCGCACTCGAGCGTTTCCATCAAACTTTAAAAACAATGCTTCGCACCTACTGTTTGGAGTTTGAAAAAGACTGGGATGAAGGTGTACATTTACAAATGTTTGCTATTCGGGAGGTGGTTCAGGAATCTCTGGGGTTTAGCCCGTCGGACTTGGTTTTTGCTCACACTGTTCGCGGCCCTTTAAGGCTGTTGAAAGAGAAGTGGTTGTGTGACAAATCTGACCTGAATTTGTTAGACTATGTTAGTAATTTCCGGATGAAGTTGAATCGTGGGTGTGAGATTGCTAAAGAGAATCTTAAAACTGCACAGGCTAAAATGAAGTCCTTGTTTGACAGAAGGGCAGTTTTGAGAGTTTTTCAGCCTGGGGAGAAAGTGTTAGCGTTACTTCCGGTTCCTGGTTCCAGCTTGCAAGCGCGCTATAGTGGGCCTTATACAATCACGAGAAAGGTTGGTAATCGTGATTATCTGATCTCTACTCCTGATCGGAGGCGCACTTCACGCTTATGTCATGTGAACATGCTGAAGCCGTACGTCGAACGTGCATCTGCTCTGCATAAATCTATCAGTTGTGTTTCCAGTGAACGAGATGACGCAGATGTCGGGGCAGCTGCAGATGCACGGGAGGAGCTGTCCGGTGCTGAACCTGAAGATGACGTTTTCTCCCCGGCTGTTACTGAAGGGAGGGTTCCAAATTCAGCGGTGTTGGGGAACTTGCCTCTCTTGTTGTCACACCTTGATTTTTCCAAGCAGGCTGATGTGGTTCATTTGATCCAGTCTCATAGGTCTCTGTTTGCAGATATTCCCACTCAGACTCGTGTGCTCAGCCATGACATTGACGTTGGTGATTCCAGGCCAATTAAACAACACCCGTACAGAGTGAACCCAGACAAACGGCGCCGTTTGCAGACGCAGGTGGAGTACATGGTGGAACATGGACTTGCTGTTGCCAGCAGTAGTGCGTGGAGTTCACCATGTCTCCTGACTGTTAAAGCCAATGGGGAGGACCGTTTTTGTACGGACTTCAGGAAGGTAAATGGGGTGACTAGGCCGGATTGCTATCCACTCCCTCGTATGGAGGATTGTGTGGACCATGTGGGGGCTGCCCAGTTCGTTACGAAGCTGGATTTGCTAAAGGGGTACTGGCAGGTGCCCTTAACGGCGAGAGCCCAGGAGATTTCCGCCTTTGTCACACCCGATGATTTCCTTCAGTACACCGTGATGGCTTTTGGGATGCGCAACGCCCCAGCAACGTTTCAACGGCTAATGAATGTTGTTTTGTCGGGTTTATCGTTCTGTGAGGCTTATTTGGATGACGTGGTGATTTGTTCTGCTACCTGGACTGAGCACGTTGACCATTTAAAAACTGTTTTTACGCGTCTGAGTGAGGCTAATTTGACGGTTAATCTTTCTAAATGCCAATTCGGCCACGCGACGGTGACCTATCTTGGAAAAAGGGTCGGGGGAGGTCAGGTGCCCCCCCTTGAGGCTAAAGTAGAGGCTATCCTTTCTGTCCCAGTGCCCACCACTCGTACTGAGCTACGCCGCTATCTGGCGATGGTTGGCTACTACAGGGGGTTTTGTAAAAACTTTTCCTCTGTGGCTGCCCCGTTGACAGACCTACTTAGCCCTAAAGTGGCTTTTTATTTGGTCTGATCGGTGTCAATCTGCTTTTGAGCAAACTAAGCATTTGCTGGTTAATGCTCCTGTGTTGTCTGCTCCTCGTTTTGATGTACCATTTAAGTTGGCTGTGGACGCTTGTGATTCTGGTGTCGGAGCTGTCCTGCTCCAGGATGGTACTGATTGGGTGGAACATCCGGTTTCTTATTTTTCTAAGAAACTGGATAAGTATAAGAGATGGTATTCCACCATTGAGAAGGAGGCATTAGTGTTGATCCTTGCTTTGGAACATTTTGAGGTGTATGTTGGAGGTTCTAGCGGATCTGTGGTTGTTTTTACGGACCATAATCCGTTAGTTTTTCTGGCTCGCATGCGGAATAAAAACCGCCGCTTGATGAACTGGTCTTTGCGACTCCAATCCTTTAACATCTCTATACAGCATGTTCGTGGTAAAGACAACGTAGTGGCCGACGCACTCTCGCGTCTCTAGTCCCGTTTGTTTTTTTCTCTGAATGGGTTGGGGTTTTTTTTTTACTTCAGACCCCATTCAGAGTCTTTGGGTGGGGGTGTTATGTGCTTCGGGCACATTATGATTTTTGTCCATTTCTTTTCTTTGTTTCTTATAAACTTTAGTTGAAGGATCTTTTGTTAATATATTTTGGGATTCTTTTAGCAAGTTAATTATGTTAATTTGTGGTGCTGTCGTCCGCCTATAAATAGGCTGGCCTTCAGCACGTTAGCGCGTTCCTTTCCAACCTCGTTTGGACGCCACTTCCCACCTGCTTCATTTGCTCCATCGTGCGCGGTGCGCACTTGTCTTGTCGCTGCGGCCTGCAGCGGACGTTCCAGCCTGCCATGTGGTATTTTTGTTAACTTTTTCTTACTTTTTTCTTGAGGTTTTTGGCCTGGCGGGACCGGTAGTCCTGTTTTCGATTTTTCTTTCGCTTAGGTTATTTTTTGCCTTTAGTCCGGTACCAGTAGGGGCTTCGACGGCCCTGTATAGGGTTGGCCCCCTGCTGTACCGTTTTATTCTGTTTGATCGGCCTGCCAGGTCCAACTTTCTGTTGTTACTTTGGGTTTATTTTTTTATTTTTTTGGGGCACGGGATTTGAGGGCCGTTAACTATTTTTCTCTTCGCAGAACATCTGAAGAAGCCGAACCAAGAACAACTAAAACGGAGAGAATTTATTAATAAAATATCTTTTTTTGAACCCTCATTTTTGTCTCGTGTCCTCAAATATGTTGTGTCCTTGGTGGGCGTAACAATATATATATATATATATATATATATATATATATATACTTAAAGGTACATATAATATGCTATAAAGTCCACTATATAGTCCCTGCTCTATATAGTGATTGAGGGATTCAGGGGTCAGGGCTGACGTTCGGACACAGTACACTTTTATGAGCTATGAGAACAGCAACTTTTAAACATGCATCCAGGAGAAAGCTCAAGCTTTCCAAAATGGACATGAGCCGAGAACCAAGGTCTGACACAGCTAGGGACAGATTCTCCAGTTAAACAATATGTCTTTTGATGATAATGATAATTTCATTTGTTTAATGTTGAGTAAAGACAAAGTTAATAAGATGGCTCGCATGGTATGCTATGCACTGTAACATGCCTGAGTTATTGTTAAGAGAGCTAAAACGAGTTTTATTTCACTAAGGTTTTAAACACTCATATAACATTAACATCCTTGTGTTTTCTCATATGGTCATTACATTTTTATTACCAAATTATGACCAAAAGTCAATAAATAAGATTTAAAAAATCATGGGAAGCAGAGAACTTGGTAAGTGATTTCCAACCTTCTTGCATTTCTCCTGCAGCCTCTCCTCCTCCTACATACATACAGTACATGCCGTTACATGATTACCTGCCTGAATAACTGCCTGAATGACAGAGCAACTACTAGTTTTGTTTAATGCATCTTTTCATTAATTCAATATTGTAGTAGGTTTTTATACAAAATTAAAAGCATAACTTAGAATTTATCCATGCAGGCAAATCTGCTTTTCATTTGACAATCTGAACTGTTTTTTGTATGTTCTCCTGGAAATGTTCCTCTGATGCTGAATCATGTTGAATAAAGATCAGCTCTTCACAGCTGACAGGTTCTATGTTCTTAATAGATATCTAAAAGTGTAAAACTGCAAATTCCTTTTGAAAGAGGCACATAAAGAAATATTCATGGAGCTGACAGATCTGTAATCTGTACTGTTTCATGTATCTTTTTCTGACTCTATGCCTTAGTTTTGTTTAAAACAACTGATTAAGCAAGTTTCAACTGCTTGTTGGTAACTTTGGAAAAAGAAGTTGCACAGAGCAAGGATATTGAGAAAGGATAAGAATGTTGAACATTAATTTTCATTTGCTTTTTGATTATTTTGGACAGTTTACACACAGCCATCTGGGAATGAAATCACCCGGATTTCTTCATTCACTCAGCTAAAACTGTAATGCTAAAAGGTGGAATTTCTGGAGATTTAAAACATTATAGTATAAATGACCAATGAATCAAACAGAAAAAAAGAATTCATAAATAATTTTACCATTAATCAGTCAACTGCAACATTTTTTGATAACACATGTCTTACAATTTTGGTGTTTTATTTTCTAATTATCTTTTAGCCGATGTTTGTGCAAAAAGTTTGAGTCACAGTAGAAGTTTTTTCTTTAAAAAAAGAAATGTTTTTATCAGTTTGACTGAAGAAAATGAGTTCAGGAAAACCAGTGGCACAGAAGTGGACAAAAGACTGTATGAGAGCAAATGTACTCACCATCCTCACGAGACTTCTGAATGAAAGCATCAACGCCGCTCTCTCCGTAGTTTCCCTCTGAGGCCACAGTAGAGACATAGTTCCAGCGCATGGACTTAACGATGTCCACCATGGCCTGGGCCTGATACGTGTCTGGAGGCACCACACGGGAAAAGAAGTCGTAGCGGGTGTTGTCACTCAGCTCCGGAGCTGTAGAGGCATAGCTCACCTGTGGTATCTACACAGATACACAGATACATTGATGACATTAGAAGCAGAAAGTGGTTTTCATTGAGGTTTGTGAAAGGATAACACCGTACAGGCACAAGACAGTGTTGATTGTATTAGATGTATTAAAAAAGAGGCGGTCAGCACAGAACTTTATTTTATTTTTACTTAAGATACATGTGCCTTGATGAAAATGTTAAGTGTAAAAAAGTGTCAAATGAAATAAAGTAAAACATAAGAAAATAAATATGAGCTAAAACCTCTGTAGCTAATGGTGATTTAACCAGAGTAAGAGTAGATCAGTAAACATCTTAAGATCCCCAAATTCTCACCATCAGATATGTGGATTGTGTTGTAATGAAAAGAACATTGAATCTACACAAGCAATCCAACAATAGAGCATGAGAGTAAGTTTCTATGATTTTCTGAGATAGATCTGATTTGAAAACAGTCAACCGTTTGAGATATCCAGCACTTCACAAACTGAGATTATGAGCATGTCACCCATCTGAGTCAGGGTCACTTCCTCGATATAATTAGACCTCAAGGAGTGAAAAACAATCACTTTAATGCATGTTTCGTACTCAACAAAATCTGTTTACTCAACTGTGTCTTCTTTCCCAGGAAAATGGATTATTATCGAAGGGTTTCTCACACTTAGATAGCTGTGGGTACAGATGTTTGTATTTTGCAGTTTTGTTTGACGTCTGTAAAGATTCCTTTGATCCCCAGAAAAAAAAATATTTCATGAAACACTCAGTAGCATAATATGTAGGTCATCCAAATCCCAAAACTTCGTTGAGATAATTTCAGTTGCAGTGTTTGTTATTGTGCTTCTCATCACATGGGTGACTTCACCTTCACTGTTTTTCTAATGGATAAAACTGTTTTTGTAAATTATATTTTCATCCACATGGATTGCTGAGAACAACAGAGAGAGGAGGCAGTAAGGCTTCCTGGTAATGACTCAGAGCATGTCTCTTTGATAACAACTGGCCATGTTTTTTTGTGTGTCATAACAAAACCAGGCAAAGGTGCATTCTGTATAACATAATTTTAGTGAAAACAGCCCTGCTTTCTCCTAAGATGTGTCTTTATCACGTGTAGCATTTTATTACTATAAACAGCAGATCTGAATGCAGGGACAGATTCAAACAGATAACCTTTCATTAGAAACATCTCTCTTAAGGGCTATATGTCCAAACCTTTCCCAATATAATGTACAAAATGCCCAACTTAGTCAAATATAAAACAGGCTGATTTAAATGACCTAGAATACATTTTGTCAGCAACATATTTCTTTGAGAAATTTGTTGACCTTTCAAAAAGGGTAGGCAAAAAAATTTTGAAAATCTGACCAAAGGCAATGTGCTGCAAAGCACATTTTCAAAGTGAACAATATGAAAGAAGAACAACCCTAAATTAATCAAATAAAATTTTCAAAGTGCTACTAAAGCTGAACGCACATTTAAGAAATTATTCAGTCTTCTGTCTTTCTAATAGAGAAATCAGACACACAAGTTCCCTTTTTTTCCTTGTTGCCGCCTCAGTATGAAAACTAGATGTAAATGTTTATGTGAAAAACTTAGACAGACAGACAGACATATTTGTAATTTGTAACTAAATTGAATTTGGCAGCAGTTTGATTACTGTAAAAAAAAAAAAATCAGAAAAGAGTATCTTATTCTTTAGGCATCGTAAGTCATAATGACCACATGATATGCAACCTTTTTTTGGCATCTACTTAATCCTATTTAGCTACTTTTACACAATTATTTTATGTCCTACCATGCTAACAAATAATTACATTTACCAAATAAGTAAGTAAGTGCATTTTTTATTTTTTATTTTTTTTGTTTACTACAACTTCTGCATAACAGAAAATTTGTATGAGTTTACTGGTAAGAAGGTGTCATCAGGGGTATTTTTAAGAGAACCACTCTGCCAGCATCAGGTGTTCAAGTTCTAAGAGCAGGGCAAGAGTTGCCTAACTCATAATTTCAGGTGTCTCTAATTTAAAGTTGACAACATACTGGTTGTATTTTTTTCATTCTATTTTTATGTAAAGAAATTCTATGGATTATAGAAGAAAGCCCTAATTGTGAAAGTGCCCACATAAAAAAAACAGTAAAAAAAGGTGTAAGGTGGTAGATACTAGTAAAAGGCCATTATTTTTTGTCCTGTTCCTCTCTTTTCATAAAAAAAAAAAAAAACGTTCTGTTTCTGATCTATGAAAATAATTATTGTGATACTTTCCTGAGATGGATACATGTAATGTGCAAGAATCAGTCTCTTTTTTTTTTCAAATAAATTTCTAGGTCTGCTTTTATTTACAATAACCTCTCTGTTCTCTACTTTCAAAGAATAAGCGATTCATATAGAATATGAATCATATAGTTAACATCAGAAATGGAAATAGTAATATTGGGTGTAAAAAGCAATTTTTTTGGTATGCAATTCAAATTAAAAAACATTAAAGAATGTTAATGTTTTAATTGAAATTAATTTAATTGAACTATCAACAACAAAGCAAAAAAAACATACCAGAAAGGCTTGATGTAAGATTTTCTCAGCTTTGACATCCAACATGTGCTCAGCTAAGAACTCAGCACTGCAAAGATATTTAATTGTTGTGACTATTATCAGGTACAGTGTGGGGGCAACGAAAGCAGATTTCTCTCACGCTGCGTCAGGCTGACAACCTGTCAGCTGCTGTGAAGTTGACAAGTAAATTCTTATAAGCAAAAATCTCCAAATTATTCCTCTTGACAAGAGGATTTCAGGATTCCCCTGTATTAACAAGATTTTGTGCTGTTCCCAATTGGCATCACAGCTTATAGGAGCAATGAAGAAACAAATATGTGACAGCATATGTTAATTCATATTTGTAAAATATGTATTTCATCGACATATTTTGTTGAATACAACGGGGAACCTCAGCATCACTTACATGTATTTAGATTCCATGTTGGTCCTTTAGAATTTTATATATTTAAAAAAAAAACATGTGTATATATATATATATATATATATATACAGGTGCTGGTCATAAAATTAGAATATCATGAAAAAGTAGATTGATTTCAGTAATTCCATTTAAAAAGTGAAACTTGTATATTATATTCATACATTACATACAAACTCATATATTTCAGATGTTTATTTTGTTTAATTTTGATGATTACAAATGACAACAAATTAAAATCTCAAATTCATCATATCAGAAAATTAGAATATTGTGAAAAGGTTCAAAATTGATGGCCCCTGGTGCCACACTCTAATCAGCTAATTAACTCAAACCACCTGCAAAAGCCTTTAAATGGTCTTTCAGTCTAGTTCTATAGGCTACACAATCATGGGGAAGACTGCTGACTTGACAGTTGTCCAAAAGACGACCATCGACACCTTGCACAAGGAGGGCAAGACACAAAAGGTCATCGCTAAAGAGGCTGGCTGTTCACAGAGCTCAGTGTCCAAGCACATTAATAGAGAGGCGAAGGGAAGGAAAAGATGTGGTCGAAAAAAGTGTACAAGCAAGAGAGATAACCGCACCCTGGAGAGGATTGTGAAACAAAACCCATTCAAAAATGTGGGGGAGATTCACAAAGAGTGGACTGCAGCTGGAGTGAGTGCTTCAAGAACCACCACACACAGACGTATGAAAGACATGGGTTTCTGCTGTCGCATTCCTTGTGTCAAGCCACTCTTGAACCACAGACAGCGTCAGAAGCGTCTTGCCTGGGCTAAAGAGAAACAGGACTGGACTGCTGGTGAGTGGTCCAAAGTCATGTTCTCTGATGAAAGTAAATTTTGCATTTCCTTTGGAAATCAAGGTCCCAGAGTCTGGAGGAAAAGAAGAGAGGCACTTCATCCACGTTGCTTGAAGTCCAGTGTAAAGTTTCCACAGTCAGTGATGGTTTGGGGTGCCATGTCATCTGCTGGTGTTGGTCCATTGTGTTTTCTGAGGTCCAGGGTCAACGCAGCCACATACCAGGAAGTTTTAGAGCACTTCATGCTTCCTGCAGCTGACCAACTTTTTGGAGATGCAGATTTCATTTTCCAACAGGACTTGGCACCTGCACACAGTGCCAAAGCTACCAGTACCTGGTTGAAGGACCATGGTATCCCTGTTCTTAATTGGCCAGCAAACTCTCCTGACCTTAACCCCATAGAAAATCTATGGGGTATTGTGAAGAAGAAGATGCAATACACCAGACCCAACAATTCAGAAGAGCTAAAAGCCACTATTAGAGCAACCTGGGCTATCATAACACCTGAGCAGTGCCACAGACTGATCGACTCCATGCCACGCCGCATTGCTGCAGTAATACAGGCCAAAGGAGGCCCAACTAAATACTGAGTGCTGTACATGCTCATACTTTTCATGTTCATACTTTTCAGTTGGCCAACATTTCTATAAATCCTTTGTTTTTATTGGTCTTCAGTAATATTCTAATTTTCTGATATGATGAATTTGAGATTTTCATTTGTTGTCATTTGTAATCATCAAAATTAAACAAAATAAACATCTGAAATATATGAGTTTGTATGTAATGTATGAATATAATATACAAGTTTCACTTTTTAAATGGAATTACTGAAATCAATCTACTTTTTCATGATATTCTAATTTTATGACCAGCACCTGTATATATATATATATATATATATATATATATATATATATATATATATATATATATATATATATATATATATATATATATATATATATACACACACACACACACATATATAGGAACAACTTCATGATGTTGATTTCCATTGTGAACATCAGACAATTTTATTTGTTTACACCTAAGTCATCAACATGGATCTGGCCTCTTGAGAGACCCAAAAATATTAACTGCAACCTAAAGCTTTATAGCTATGCATTAATATAATTACCAGTGTCACTAGCAGTATAGAATTTGTGAGACTGCTTTCAAAAAATCCCCATAAACATGTCTAATCCCCTTTGACTTTCCCAGCAGGTGTCTTTAACTGCTC